GGGTACTGTTAGTAGGGGTCTGGAAAAAATTTGAGATAAAAAAACAATTTCTCCTCCACCCCCAAGCCCCCTCCGCCCCGCCCTCCAACTTAAATTATGACTGGTCCCTAAACGCCGTGCGAAACATGTCTGGCGAAAGGCAATGAAAACGTAAAGAGATCGAGAACATTTCGGAATATTGAAGCGAAATGGGTCGGCGCTCACCTGGGAAAAGGGTGTCGCTGGACTCTTTGACAACCCGTGAAATCAGTTTAACTCGAAGTTGTCGTAACCTCACTGCTTTAATAAAATGAGAAATTTCGCCGCTCTGTTGAAACCGGTCGTTTGTAGGACGCCAAGTGTTATTTTTGTTGAATAATAAAAGACTAATAAAAGAATAAATATCAAACCAGAAATTGCTATCTTCAAACTGTACATTATAAATGATCCTGAGAGAATATTCAGCGTGTCAAGGATTTCCCTGCTGTACTGTTAGCTCTATACAAGAGAGGAATGGTGATTCTTTTTTAATTCCCATTTTGCTGACACCGCTTTAGCGTAAATCTCTCTTTAGTCATTTTCGTCGACAAAACGAATAGCAATATCGCTCTCCGAGTCTTTCGCCATTTTTTTCTGCGTCAATTCGTGAAGGACGCGTGGCTCTGAGCGTGCGTCATCCACGCGGAACACATTCGCGCTACGTGATTGGCTGTTGTCTAACCCCTCTTGGGATTTGTGTGTCTTAAAAATAACTCGATACGAATTACCTATGGAATAGGGTGTGTATGGAGGATGCCTTCTCTGTCCCCTTTATCCTCTCTTGTTCTGAATCGAAAATCTAAAAGACAGGGAGTTGTTTACCAAGTCCCACACGCAGACGACACACAGATAGTCTATCATTCTCAACGCATCCTCGGAGACCCAGAGGGCGACAATTTTCCGTGGGCGTAGAGGTAGGGTGAGTTTTCGGTGTTCTATTACGGCAGCCAGCGGTGTCTTTAACAGCTGAGGTAGGTCATTGAGGTATGGGAATATATATTGTACCCACGTTGCATCTCGGGGGAGTGGGGGGGGGGGGGAATCCGGGTTTCCACTTGAGGGGGATGATTTATTCCCTTGGACTTTAAATAATCCCCCAAAAAATCAATCCACAAAAAATAACAACCCATAAGGAAAACAACAATAACTAATTTTGAATTTTTAAAACCAAAAAACATCATCACATGGGGGGGGGGGGGGGGGGGGGGGTACTCCGGATTCCAAGTGACGGGGATGATTGAATCCCTAGGACCTTCAATAATACCCCAAAAAATCCATGCACCAAAAATTAACACCCAATAGGACAACCTCAATCGTCTAATTTGAAATTTTCAAAACCAGAAATCTTACTGCGACTGAGAGTTAAACTCTCCTAGTAGAAGAAAAAGAACAAAAAATTGAATATTCTTATATACTAAAGTCTCGTAAAAAAAAATGTCCACCCAACAATGAGAGAAAAACCTCTCCCAGTAGTAGTAGAAGAAAAAAAAATGAATAGTATTCTTGCAGGGTGAAGTCTTTTAGATAATATTATATTTCCACCCTTTTTGAGGGAAAAATTCTCTTCCAGCGAAGGCTTGCAGAAATTGTTCCAAAGGTTCAATTTATTATTCAGGTAGAGTGGAGCTCTTCAAAATGAGAATAGTTGTCAAAATACTAAGTACTATTGTTGACAGCCTGTTGGTTGATAGCCTGTTCACAGACCCTCTATTTTCTCTTCAAAGTCCGTCGAGCGCTCGTGATAAAAGAGAAACCGCGGGGGATTTACCGCCAGCGCAACAGGGTACTGGTGGGGGAAGGAGAATTTTTCTTTCTCGCGTTCCGCGCTCGTTTCGTGCGCTCGAAAAGAACAAAAATAAAAATAAAACAACGTCTGTGTACAAGCTATATTGTTGATTACCATGCTAAAACAACAGCATATCAGACTTAAAGAATACACCACAGATGATAGGCTCTTGGTTATAGAAAATATATTTCCTTATCTTCTACAATGAAGGCCAAACGAAGTTTCTGTGAAAATATGTGTGAAAAACTTCTAAGTAATCGTTCCCTTCTAAGTAATTGTTACACAGGACTCTGCTCCTAATGACCATTTTTTTTATGGACTTTGGCTTGATCCCATCGTCCCCCCAATCCCCCCACCAGCAATGATGTGGCCAAAACTTTGTATGGGGTGGGAGGGGAGGGGTCGCTAGTTTTGACCTCCCTTGTAGATCTTATGGACTAATCCAAAAATTACGGTACTATAATCAAGAGAAGAAGAGCTGCAGGGGGGATCCAGGATTTTACTTAGGAGGGGGTGCATCCCTAAGACCATTTTAACCACAATTTTACGGCGTTTAACATAATTCTTCAACCTCGTCTCATGTTTTACTTCAGCACCAATAAACTACAAAGCTTTTTTTTGCAGAATACCAGTTGTATTAAAAAGCCGCAGGTCATCTCGGGGAAGTGGGGGTTGCGCACCCCTGAACCCCCCCTCCCCCAAGATCCGCCCCTGTAACGGTAAAAGATGACTTCATTTTAAATCAATATCCCCGAGCTAGCATACCCAGGACTATGCCCACCCTTTTGCGATCGATTTAGCCTTCTCACTCTTTATCTCGCCCCGCAGTCCCAGCTAGAAAAGCAACTAAACGACTCTACAGTAACGGACCTACTACATATCGACTACAAAATAAAAAAAACAAAAATTTGATCAGTCTTGAATCGTCTCAAAACTGTCTTCTAGATCAAAAAATTTCCTCTCTTCTAATTCTAGCAACACGCGGATTTAAAATATATGTTATATATTATACACAAATGAAGCACGACAGAGCTTTGAGCCAGGGATAGTCAGTGAAATATTTCAATCAAAATGAACGATTCTCTTCGCTACATGTTTTACTGAAGCCCCGTGCAATCGAACGCAACATTGTTGGCTAACAATTCAACATCGTATGTTACATGTTGTGTCAGTTTGCATACCCTGTTGCATGTTGTTGCGTGTTCTTGGGAGTTGTTGCTCAAAGTTTGAAACCGGTCAAACGTTTGAGCCAACAACCCCCAACATTTCTTTTGTCCTAACATTGGGAGTTGTTGCATCCGTTTGCACACCACTGCCAACAAGGATGCAACAACTCCCAACATTGTTGGCTTAGTACGTAGCTTAAAAGACAAAACTGACGTCAAGGATGTCTTTACCCTGGTTCCAAATGTCCCTTGTCCGAATAATTACTCAAAATAAAACCATAAAACCACGCCTATGGTTTTTAAAGTCCTCTAGGTACTTTTTCTTCGACAAGTTATGTTTTGTTTTCGCATCTTTGCCGCTAAACGGAGCTTTGCCCAGCGTCTTTCTCAGTTCAAAGTTAACATTAAGCAAATGTCAAAGGCTCAAACCATTAATACAACGCTGTTCAATTTTCGGCAAAAAGCCCGACAATTTTGTTCTAGTTGCGGACGCTAACAACTTCTTGCTCTTGCTTCTGGTATATACTTCAAAAATTCCGTCGAGAATATTTGGAGGCCTATCGGAATTTTCTTGTCAGGCGTCAAAATCCTTTGTTTCATTACAGCTGTCCTTCGTCGGCTCATCTAATTTCGCGAACCTGACCAATTAAAGTTCCTTTAATTGACGTTTTTGGTTATACCAAAAATTTCAGGTGTCTCAGATGCGTACAAGGTTGTAAAAACGAGAAATTAGGGAACTAAAAGCAATGGCGTTTTTGAGCGACGTACGTCAACCGGAAGTGAGGTCTTCTCCATTTAAAGCACCTCGACGATACCAAATTTTTTAAAGTGTCTTTACTACCGTGGAGACGATTTGTCTAAAAAAGTGGGCACAAACACCGTCCAAAAATGATAAAGGATCACTTCCGGTTGACTTTCGTTGCTCAAAAACGCTTACGCTTACTACGATATCAGGGGCGGATCCAGGATTTTTTTTAGGAGGGGGTGCACTCATCTCTTGCTCTACTTCACCACCAATAAACCACATAGTTTTTGGCAGAATATCAGTTGTATTAGAACACCGCAGGTCATCTCGGGGGTGGGGGGGGTGCGCACCCCCTGCACCCTCCCCCTAGATCCGCCCCTGGACATGTATAAGTAATAGCATGATTAGTAGTGATATTTGGCATAAATACCACGAGTGATATTTCGAAATTAATATACGTAATTTCACGAGCCGTTAGGCGAGTGAAATTTGAGACAATTTTGAAATATCACGAGTGGTATTTATGCCAAATAGCACGTACAAATCATGCTATTATTTGTTTATACTACTACCCACAAAAGGTTTGTAATCTTCACATGTAGGTATTTCAAATTAAGCTGAAATACCACTGCTCTAGGCCAATCAAATTGCACAAGTTTCTCATGTAGTAGTATAATGGTACGAACAGGCCCTTAGTAATGATCCATTTTCTAAGAAATAACGGTAATCCTCCAACAAATCGTACCCAGGGCTTTCCCCTTAGAAAATGGGAGGGAAAGCCCTGCAGAAGAGCTTTGACCATTCGCATAGGTAAATTAATACTGGGTTTGCGGTAACCCCAGCTGGAAACCAATGCTTGTTAACTTAATCTTCCCGACGGTTCAGGGGACTCAACTTAATCCTCCAACAACATTTTCTCCTTCTGAAACAGCTCCTCCTCTCAGTAAACTGAACAAGATGTTTCCACTGCTTTTCCTCCCTCCCTGATCCACTGCAGGCCATGTGGTCTGTGGCAGCGACTAGCAAGGTAAATTTGACCGGAGGTGGGGAGTTTCAGTTTCCCATCCAAAATACAAGGTAAATACAGTCCGACGAGTGGACGTGTCTCAGAAATTTCAGTGCGAGGGTAATGAAACTGTTTCAGTGTCAGTACACAAGACTGTTAGCGAAATACATTCGTCTGATATCATACAGCTGCGCTGAACTGCCCGTCTGCCTTGCTGGATGCCGCTTATGACACGTGACGGTTATTAACTTTGCGTGAAACTCTCCTTTTTGGTTCTTGTTAGTTCACCTTGCACTCGCTGTTGGCGCTGGAGTCGTCATACCCTGAGGGTACAGGCAAAGATATAACGTCTTCCTGACCAGAGTCATCTGTTGAACTCGCAGTCGTGTGTGATTCTAGCGTCTCGCCACCGCCTCTATGAAGTTCCACATTTTCGACGTAGTGTTCTTTTCTAAAGTGAAAAGGTACTCCAGTCTTGCACGAAACAATTACTTTCCCTGAACCAACAATAACTATTGCTGGTTTCATCTCAACGGTCTTCTCCAATAGGTAATCCCCTTCCTTTAACAGAACAATTTGATTTACGTCCTCACGCTCCGTGATTTGTTGAAGAACATTGCGCAGTTCATCTGAGTTTTTAACAACATCGATTTGTAAAGCTCCATAACTTTCAATGACTGAAGAAATATCCCGACCAGAACTCAAGTGATTGAAGACAGCAGCAGCGGCTAAGGCTTCTTGTTTCCTCCCTAACTCTGCTAAACTCATGGCCTTGGTGGAGTAACCCAATAACCAAGAAGGATCCGCTCTGATAGAAGACTCTGAATCTTTAAACGCAAGCTCCAGTAACGATACCCGCTCAGACATGTTTCTCTTTTCCTCAGCCGCTTTCAAGTAGGTTGAAGCTCTAGCTGTTAGGAGTTGTGCGTCTTTTGGACATATGGCTAATGCCTTGCTGTACAAAGACAAAGCCTCGTCTAATTGGCCACGATTAAGACTCTCCTTAGCTTTTTCTTTGAAAATTTTGATTGAATCCGTTGAAGATAACAGCTCTATGTTCTCAGTGTAAACTGTTTCATCAAGTTTCAGTGGAACACTCCTGGGGCAAATAATTTGGACTTTTCCGATGCCAACCATTACTGCGTTCGCTGGAACTTTCAGTGGGTTCGGTAACTCATATCTCCCTTCCTTGAGTAAAATCACAAGATTGTTGCCGTCTGCTCTCTTGGCGGCATGATAAAGGTCATCGATAGTAGTTATCACCTGTGTACTGCAACTTCCAAAGTGCTCCATCACTGCAGGTATATCAGTGCACTGTGATGGCAAGAGATGTTCCGCAACTGCAGCTGCAGCAAGGGATGGACCTCTTTGTCCAAGTTTAGCGAGACAAACCGCCTTCCAGTAGTAACCTTTAACCCAAGAAGGATCTGCGCTTACTGCCTTGTTCGCATCCTGAAGAGCATATTGAAGAAATATTTGTTGGTCTTCTTTAGGATCTTTACTATGGCTTTTAAGTGCTTGCTCTTCTGACAGTTTGACGTACGTTGCCGCCTTGTTAGTTAGTATTTTTGCATCGTTTGGGAATTGGTCTAACGCCTTTTGATAGAACTCTAGAGCCTCCGAATATTTTTGTGCCCTAAAAAAGTTGTTCGCAGTTTCTTTGTAATTCCTAGCAATAAAAACATTGACATCACAAAGGGGCCGTGCGGAAAATGGTTTAGTGACTGGTTTCTCGATGCTTCGCTTCATTTGTTCTCCGAGATTATAGGCTTCATCCTTATTTCCAAGGATAGCGAATACCGTTTGGAGATACAAATATGCCGTTTGCACTTCTTGGTGGCTCTCGTCATACATTTTCCTTCGCAGTGACAATAACATCTCTCCAATGTTGCGATACAACTTGCCGTTAAATTTTGCCTGTTTACTTTTTTCCGGCTGAACGCTTGAAATCAAGAAACAGCTCATTATGCCCGCTAGAACCATTGCTGCATGGTCATGGCTGCTTTCGTCGACTACACATTCACCGGTATCCAAATCACCGCCTTGAATGCATTTATACATGACTGGCCAATTGTCCTCCAAGATACGAAAAAGTGTATCCTCTGCTGTCTTAGGGTCGAAAAAACACATTACTTGTAGAGCGTCCGTTATTCCCTTGAAATAAAAATCTGATGTTGGTGGTTGCTTCTTTGCAATGTTTAACAGTTCTTCAGCATATTTTCGTGCCTCGTGCACCTTTCCCTCATTAAGCAAATGAGAAGTGATAAACTGTAAAACACGTAACAGTTCGCGATGATCAGGGGGGTAAATGCGCCTCGCAAGTTCCAGCGCTTTCTTATAACGTACCAAAGCCGACCTAGAATTACTTGCTGACAACTGATTTTCTGCTCTAGCAATTAAGATTTGAAGGTCTACAGTGTTCTCATCGTTGATTTCTAAACGTTCGAGTTCCATCAAGGCTTTATAATTTTCTTTCCATTGCCCTTCTAACGCGTGATAAGAGGCCATATGCTCAAGAACTAGATATTTGATATCGGGTTTCACAACAATTCCAGACTTTTCCATCTCAGCCAGCTTCTCTACAGTTTCTAATGCCACCTTTTTCGCCTCCTTGTACTTTTCGTATCCAGGACAATTTCTTAAATTGATACTTGCAGAAACCATCGCCCCAAGAGCGGAATTGGGATCAGAATTACCACTCATTTTCGAAACATTCATTCGAAATTCACCCATTTCAGCCCTTAATCTGTTAAAAAACACATTGTTACTGATCAAGGAGACCACTAAGTTGCACAATTTTAAGGTGTCATCATTGTAAAGTACACGAGCCACATTTCCTTTTGATGAATGAATTTCCTCTTCCATATGATTCTTCAATTTGTTGAAATTCAATACAAGGGAAACAATTACATTCCTTTCCTCTTCCTTTAACAATGACAGATCCCCCAAAGCACCATACTTTTCTTGTTCAAAACAGGGAACACTATGCGTGCATAATGCCCAGTAAACAACTCGTGTAGCTGCCAACAAAGCCTCTTCCCTCTGTGATGGAGTAAGACTGGTTCTTACCACTTCTTGAACAAGTTTGTGGACGCTAAAGACTTTGCTTCGATGATCGACAGAGTAAAGGGAGTAACTTGACAGTACCTTAAGGATGGAGGCAATGTCGATCTTGGAACGCGCACATTCTCTCAATTCCTCTTGATCTAATTCAGGCAGACCAGGATTAATAACGTCAATGGGAACATTCTCAGAATCCAAAAAGGCCGAAATTTGCATCATACTGGCGGCAGCTGGTGACTGTTCTTTTACAAACTCGAAATTCAACTCCCAAGTTGTATGAACTGACAAGCGATGTTGAGCCTCTATGCTAAGTGCTGTAGCAGGCTGTTGCTTTAAAAGGCGCATCTTCACTGCTTGGTATTTTTCTAGGTATTCATTAAAGCTCAGTGGGATAGGACTTGTAGTTATGTATGCTGCTGCCTGCTCTAGGGCTAGTGGCAATGCACCTAGCTCTTTTGTTAAACAAATCGCATCTGGGTCAAGGGATTCTCCTCGAAGATCGGTTCTTTTCATTAAGAACAAAGCTCCATCCTCTACGCTAAAGCATGACAACTCTAAAAAATCATCAGTCGAGTACCTCAGAAACGCCTTTGCGTCTTTTGAGTTTTGCCTAGTTGTTAAAAGAATGTGGCCGTTCTTTAGTGATTTAACAGTTCTTTGCCAAGGTCCCTTGCATATCTTCTTTACACTTGCAGGACACATAGGATCTTGCATTTCGTCCACATTGTCCATCACAAGAAGCCATGGAAGGTCCTTCTTGGACAACCACGTAAGGAATTTGTTCAAAGTGTCATCGATGCTGTCATTTGTTGAGGTAGGAATGTTTCCCAGCGAAAGCATCTCCGCAACTGATTTATTTATATTTTCATCGCTTTCGCCATTGATCCAGAACACCCCACCTGGGAAGCTATTTTTGTGACTCCAAGCAAATTCTACAGCCAAAGATGTCTTCCCACAGCCTCCAAGCCCGCATACTGTTTTGGTGCAACAGGAAGTCCCAGGGTTGGCCTCAACGCTCTCTAAAATGAGGTTCTTTTCAAGCCAATCAAGAGCTGACTTACGGCCTGTGAACAGTGGTAACCTACTTGGAGCGGTGCACAACGCGTCATCATCACTGTCATTCTGTTCTTGTGTGGCTTGCCCTTTTTCCAAGACTACCACTTTCTCTTGCAAAATAGACACCTCTGTGGATGTCTCCATTGCTACTCTCTGCACTTCTATCACTTTGTCTTTCAAACTTGCTAGGGAGGTTTCAGTGTTGGCAACTTTAGACTGTGTTACACTCAGTTTAGTTTTGACAACTTCTAAGTCATCTTGGATAGCTTCGAAGACTTTTTGCAGGTCATCCCTTTTATTCAGAAATCTGTTGAAATCATCGACAGCTTTCAGAACGGTGGATAAGTCATTCGAATAATGTGCCATCACGTCTTTTAACTCATCCAACTGCTGTGCCAACTTGCTTATCTCTTCTCTGTTTAGATCCCCTTTTTCTTTCACGTCAGATAAATCGCTCTGCATAACCATCTTGATCTTTTTTATCTCTGCATCTACGTTCAAAATGTTACTCTGAGCGTCAGACACGTCACCTTGGCATTTTGTCAGATTAGCCACCAGTGAGTGGCGATGCAAGTGAAGAGCCTCTATTTCAGACTTCCTCACGTTTACCAGACCGTTATGAAACAAATCTTGCAAGTCTTTCGACGATTGCTGGGCGTCTTTGTCAGAACTGAACACAGCGTCATTGAGCAGATTATTAAGATGACCAAATATGGTTGAAAGATCGGCATCTTGAATTTCCTGTTTCGGAGCGTGCGCCCAATGATTCCTGCACTCATCTCTTGCCGACGTCAAAACTGTTCGACTCGTAGGAGGATTAATAAAAGGACACCATTCAAGCAGGTTCAAAAGACCACCAATGTCCGTAGTTTCGGCGTCGACAACATCTTTTTTACGACCTCCAAGAGTTGGCATAAAGACTTTAGCTATCTCCCATGCCCCAGTCGGAGATCCCCACTGTGTTCGGTCACTGTTGTCCCAGCAAATCTTTGGTCGCCCGGATGTGTGGTGACGTTTCAGTGTCGTTTTCCAAGTGTCACAAGTGAGGCACTTTGATGCTGACGATGCGCAAGCGCAAGATGGAAGTGACTGAAGTGGAGGACTGGAAATAAGGGACTGGTACCAAGTTTCCATTTTGTTTTGAATTTTTGATGTAATTCCTTTTTTGGTAATATTCAGGGCACAACCAACCATCACCCAGTTTTTGTGTTCTATCTTATCAAGCTCCGCCACCCAACCGCCAGATGCCATTATGATACTGATTTCGAGGGAAACTAAGAAACAGTACGTCTTGGAATTAAACGACAAAGCAAGAACGACGCTTTAGGCTGAGTCTAGTTCTCTTTACCTTGTCCTTTTCTAGGCCCTTTGTCGCATTTCCTAACCGAGGATCTGCAACTGAAAAAACAAAAATCTTATAACACGATAAATTACCTTAAATACGCTAAAGTTCCCCCAAACAGCAGCAACGGCGATCTTATCAAGAACTTTACAAATACGAATTTGCAACAGGCTTATTGAGGAGCAAACGAACGGATATTTTAATAGATGTTACGGATCTGTGAAATGTAGGTGGGAGTCGAGGACTGATGTTATGCGAGGTCAACACATGAATACAAATACTGCTACCTTTCAGTGTAAACGCAAGCAAGCACAGGTGAAGTAAACTGACTCCCATTTTGTGGGTGCTTAATACCCAGCAATGATAGCAGGTTGTTACAGCTTTCATACACTACGATGGCTTGCGCAAGGAGACACACGCTCTTTATTTTAAGCAAGCGAGTCAATAGAGAAAAAGAAGCCAGAGCAGAGTACTAATTGAAAATGCACTGCGTATATGCACAAGCTGTCGGCAAAAGACCCCTGGCCTGTTAGCAGCTGACTGTAGCTATTTATGCAAATTTGACAAGCTTAACTTGTGTGAACGGACTTTATCATTAGTGAACTAATAACAAAAACATTTCCACTGGTATAATATTACCACAATCTATAGCTGTCACTGTCACAGACTTACTAAATCCCTGATATAGACAGTGTGGTGGCTCCCAAAAGCTTGATCTGATATTGCCAGGTTTCCAGGAATATCTGTATCTGTTTGTAATTGCAGGACTAGATTTGCTGTACACTTTTTTTTGTAATCTAGAGCTAGATCACACGACATTCCTCAACTTAGATACTAAGATGATACAAAGCAGTGGCAGATCCAGGGGAGGGGCCGAGGGGACCCCCCCCTCCCCCCTTAGTTTTAGACGAAACTGAGGCCCAAAGGGCCAAAAAATTTTTTTTGGAGACCACCCTTCCCCCCCCCCCTATCTCAAGGTCTGGATCCAGCACTGCAAAGACAATAATAAGAGCAAAATTCACCAGCTGTTTCATGTGAACTCAATACCACCTATCATGTTTCTTTGGAAATTACCCCATTTTTTACATGATTTAAAACATATACTGAAACAACCAATTATGGTTCATAGCTATTGGCAAGAACAATTAATTCTAAAAATAGAGTATTTATGTGCTGTCACTCACGAATAAAAAGCTAAAATTTTAATGATATCTGTGTTGTGTCCAAAAATTCTAATTTTTGCTCCAGAATGCTGGAAATGTCTCAGAGGACCAGATTTCAAACTTTTTTCCTGGGGTGGCATGCTGCCAGACCCCCCTAGAGTTTTTTCCATCTCTGCCTACTCCAAAGCTTTAAATGCCCTACTTAGAACTTATTGAAAACACTGCTTTGTGTTATAGAAAAGAGTCACCAAGGGCTGTTATGAAGGGGACTTTGGAAACAATTTTACACTATCACTGAAATTCAAGTACTAATTTACCCTAATTTGCAAATGATCCAAAATAAATACACCAGTACAATCTAAAGAAACAACAACAGAAAAGAAAACTGAAGAACTCAGAACTCAAAGATTCACAGGCACTTTTAATTAAAATTTTTTTTGCCTTCACCTAGGATGGCAAATTACCAGCAGCCGTGTACAATTGAGCTGCAAAATGCCCCACCACTAGAACAAAAAAGGGACGAGGGCCACAATCAACACTGCAGCACTTTTCATTGATCAAAAAGACGAGTAATGCATTTTAATGTAAGATTTCTTTGGTTCAGATCAGTTAACATCTGCCTTTGTAATATAGCACAATTCTATTTAAGACTTAAATTCATGAGCGACGAGACCACTTCATGATTATTATTTAATTATTGTTGTTTGTCTTCTTTTGAATAGTTCATTGGTAGTTCCGAATAGTTTAATTATTATATGAAAAAGTAGAGGAAGCTCCTCAAGTAATTAAGGTAGACCTTATGGCACAATTAAAAATATCATCACCGCTAAATTTTATTCTAATCTTAGATCAACACAAATGTTGTTTAGTAACCAAAAAAATGTCAATTCAGGTTGAATGTTTAAGCTCCCAACTTAATTCCAGCTTGATAAGCAAGGAAGAAATGCGCACATAAAATTGAGGAGACAATACCTTAAAAACCCTCTGAAAGTTTTTCCTGCTCCTGACAGATAAACCAACCTTTGAATCTGCTGGTATTTTCAATAAAATCCTCCATGTTTAGTATATATGTTTGGATAGGAATGCATGTATGTGCCAAAAGCTCAGGGGTGGCTCTGGGGTTCATGCCCGACCCCGTGCAACACAAAATTTGCTAATACCCCACCCTCAGGAATGATCGACAAGGCATGCAAATGCCCCATAGCTGTCCAAGGGAGTGCATAGGCACACCTGGAATAGGCCACTTGCACTAAGAGGTCACATGACCAATGAGTTGGAATCTTGCTGATGCCAAAAATTGATGGAGCGTATAAAAATTATCTTACACCCGAAATTTGAGAGGAAACGCATTTAAGGAAGATAATATTTTATGGCACTTTGATTTTTCAACAAAGTAGTATGATTTGTATTGGCTGCCACATTGGAGTGCATACTCTTGCCCTCCAACATGGTGGCCAAAACTACTTTTTCTTGTATGTTAATAAACATTAGATAGTTACCCTCAGATGTGCTGAAAACGTTACCACATCATCTTTTCAACAATTTCCTTGAAGTTTAAGTACAAAATTTCTGTTCAGAAAGAGACAATTCATAGTTTTACAGGGGTTTCATTAAGCATTAGAGATCGAAGAATTCTCCGTCTACTTAACACACAATTATCCAGCTATTAAATTTCAATGAAGTATGGCTATTTTTTATTCTGTGGGGAATCAGACACAGACATGGTGGATACGTTATATAAATAGAAATTATTCCTAGATATTATGCATTATTTCAGCGCTTAGCCACTTGCTTTACACTCCTAAATAAATAACAAATACATAAAAGACCATATTTAAATGCTAGCAGTTTTCAGCCCAACAAAACTAACAGGGGATGTGTAAAATATTAGACAGTTTGCTGAAGTGTGGAGAGTTGACTGTATGCTCAACGCTTTTTTATTTGCACGTGAAAAATAATTAAATGAGTAAATACTAATGAAACATTAAAATGTGAAACAAAATAAAAAACATGATGAACAAATCAGTGGCAAAGTTACGACAAGAAAATTAGTATAAGCAATAAATGACAGAGTATCAAATTACTATAAAACAAAGGCAATTTTTGAGATTCTTCTATTTTAAAGATGACTTCTAAAACGTGTAGAGGTATGCAGTGTTTTTTGTTCGGCAGCTACAAGAAATAAAATTTGCTATCGGACAAAAAATTTCCAGGCTTGTTTTCAAGTTCTTTCCGCAAAAGTCCTTCCCTCTTCAAAATATTCGCCTGTTACTAGCTTACACTATTCTCCTGGTACTGCAATTCTTAATGAAATCCCAGGTTTTAAAACTTACATAATTTTAGGTCACGTGACCATGCAGCTACGAACTTACTCATTTTAACAAAATGGTGCAGGATTGAAAAACTAAATCGATATTATTTTGTTTAAGATATGAACCACTGATCGTTTTTTGAAGGCAAAATCATATAACTTTCATTTTCAAAAAAATGATGTCACATGACCTCTTAGTGCAAATGCCTTTTGACTGATGGATAATGACTGAACCAAGAGACCTTGGCAGACAGTGGAAAATAAAAAAATCACTGCCTGGGAGCTTGTCAGCAAATTCAAAAAAATGTCATTCATTCCTATAACGAATACTCCGGCTGGGACCTAACAAATTTCAAAGTGCTAATAATATTACACCTCTAAATAATAATAATAATAGAATACACAGAAATTATGGCAGCCGGATTCAAGGGAAAAACTAATTAATTTTAGCAATACGGAATATTATGAGATTTTTGCATAAGTAAATATTCAATTTCAATGAGCACATACTAGAACCGGATACAGACATTCCTTAGCGTAAACCAATCTCTTGGGAGCCGACTGGCCTCACAGGGGAATAGACCCATTCGGCTAAATCTCCCGGGGTTAAGATTCTTTGTGTATTGTATTTGCATTGTAATGTGGCATTCACATTTAAATGATGTGGAAATTCCTGAAACAAAACGTGTTATCCCCAAAGGGTTTGAATTGGGTACAACATTGAGTTAGCCGAATAGGTCTATTTTGCAGAAAATAACTCGATCACTGCTTAAGGGAGCACAAGAACCCTACCAGAAATCATTTAATTTGCCAGCCTTCACTTCGGGCATTTACAAAATGCTTCCAAAGGCTAACACAGGGGGCTAACATTTATCCGTTATAGCCGTGCACTTGGATAAAATGAAATCGAAACTGAGGGCGTTTGTTGCGGCACGATCATCTTTTATGATCGGAATTCTAGATCGAGTTCGGAGTAAAAAAGTTCAATAAAGTAAAACTTACATATTTCACTCCTCTCAGAAGTTGTGGGAACAGTTTCACGCTCTTTAAAAGTAGTAATATAGGCTGGAAAGTTATCAAAATTGCGTTGACATCAACCGAGTTTTAGGCGGAAGTGAAAGTGTAACGTGATATGTAAGCTGGTATCCACTCCTTTTGCCACGGTGTTTGGGAGCCTGGGTCCAGTTGCATAAATAAAAAAAACACTAGCGTCTTGACCAGCGTCACACCAGCTACAAATGCAAGAGCCTAATTCCCATCCCTCTGAATCAAGACTCTTAAAGACAGGGTGGATCGAAATTTACTTTGTTTATCAAGTGACTAGCCTTTCACACAGACATCCTTTTGATTGCCCTATTTGATCTAAAAAACAGAGAATGAAAAAATTCCAAATTTTTGACCAAAACCATGGACTAACCCTTAAGAAAAAATGCAAATTTTGCCACTTTTTGCCAACGAGCAATCCAAGCAAGACGGTCGGCTTGTGAGGCGTTGCAGCAGGCAGAAAATTCATTCTCTGTTTTTTACATCAAATAGACCCAAAGAAAGTCTTTCATGACGCTCTAGATAAAAATTAACCTTTCTAGACTATAGAAAATCGAATTAAAAAAGTGGAAAAGATTGCGTTTTTGCTAAGGGATTAGTCCATGGTTTTGGTCAAAAATTCAAAATTTCTATATTCTCTGTTTTTTAGATGAAGTAGGCCGACAAATGCTTTTGATGTAGTTCTAGATAGAAAATTAGCCTTTCTACACTATAAAAACAACGGTTTATGAAAGTCGCAAAATCTGCATTTTTCCAAAGGGTTAGTCCATTAATTTGGTCAAAAATTTGAAGTTTTCTCATTCTTGACTTTTGGGCAATACAGGCCGAGAAAAAGTCTTTGCTGACTTTCTAGATAGAAAATTAGCCTTTCTAGACTTTAAAAACATCAATTTATAAAAATTGGCGAAATTTGCATTTTTCCGAAGGGGTTAATCTATAATTTTCGTAAAAAATACGAAATTTCGCTATTCTTCCTTTTTAGGCCAAATAAGCTGAAAACGTCATTGGAAACGCGTTCTGGAGAGGAAAATAGCCTTTCTATACTATAAAAAAAATCGATTGGTAAAAGTTGCAAATTTGCCTTTTTCGAAAGGGGTTAGTTCACGGTTTTGGTCAAAAATTCAAAGTTCGCATTGTTTTAATCTTGATTTTTGGCAAGAGCCATAATAGTCCTATTATGGCTCTTGCTTTTGGTCAATGTAGGCGGAGAAAAGACATTGTATCGGCGTTCTAGATAGAAACTAGCTTTTCTAGACTATAAAAAAATTGGTTGATAGAAGACGCAGAATCAGCATTTTCCATAGTCCACGGTTTTGGTCAAAAAATTGAAATTTCTTTGTTCTCTGTTTTATGGATGAAATAGGCCGAGAAATGTCTTTGATGACGCTTTAGGTAGAAAACTAGCCTTCTACTCTATAAAAACAACTGTTGATAAAAGTCGCAAAATCTGCATGATTTTTGGTCAAACATTTTAAATTTCTTCATTCTTGGTTTTTAGATCAAATAAGCCTATAAAAAAAGGTTCATGACGTTTTAGATGGAAAACTAATTTCAGTGATAACTTTTTCTTTAACGATGGCTATTATCTTCCCTTAATCCCCTATCATCAGCTCTTTTTCCCTCTAACATGAAGTCGAGGTCAAATAAAATGGCTATATATACCAGCTTAGCTCTGGAGTTTTTCGTTAAAAAACTGGAACAATTTGAAAGAAACAAGTTTCTTTTGTCTGAAAATGGATCGTTAAACTCGAAAAGCGCTCGGTATAATCCATAAAAAAACTTTGAACAAAGATACTGCGACACGCCACAGAACAAGCACGTGCACGGTATTTATCATATCGCCAAGTCTAAGGAAATTTAGTAAAATCCAGCTAGTGGTCTATTATCAATGCTGCGTTCTGATTGGTTGAGCTACTACTAGGCTATATGTTATAGCCAAGAGCTCCTATTATGGCTCTTGGTTATAGCCCACTAGTAGCGAAAAGCGCGGGCTTTTTGGCGGCAAAAAAGGATGCACGTCTAGCTTTTACTTAGCTAAAATTTTTTTATTCTCAATATTTTTGACCAACTAGGTGGATTTTACTAAAACAATTCAGTATTCCTCTCACCCTCATGGAACTCTGAGTCAATAGCTCACTCGGCCCTCGGCCTCATGGGCTATTGACTCAGAGCCCATTCGGGCTCGAGGAATAATTGTTGAATATGAGCATGTTGGTTTTCTTGTGGAGTGTGTTTCTTAGATTTTTAGTTTCAAAGTTTATAGCCTGAAATTCATCCGATTGCTTGGAGTCATTTTCTCCACTAAACAACGACGTTACTGCGGGAGTAATAACGACTCGAAGTAACCGGATGAAATTCAGGCTACAACGTTTAGCCTCGCTTTCAAGTTAAATTCATTTTCACTGTTGTCGGCTTTTAAAAACATAGTTATAACTCAAAACGCATGCCACAATTTGAAACCACGAACTGGCTAGCCAAAAAGAGGGTGCTTTAATCTATCACAGTCCATCGTCAAACCTTTTCTGTCCACTGGGTTAAGTGAAACAGCCCTCTATAGCTTATAGCTTTCTAACAACCAATCAGAGTAGAGCTAACCATGGTACGCGGTACCCAGTGTAAGTTAGACTCTAAGTCACATACAGTGTTATGATAAGCGGAAATGATTCACTTCAAAATGAGAATTGTTGCCAAAATACCAAGTTCCATTTTTTATTACTATGTTACAAACAACGGAATATGAGAAAGAATTGACGTAAAGAATACACTATGGATGATGGGCTCTGGGTTATAGGAAATAAATTTCCTTATCTCTTAGATCTTTTGGACTAATCCTGCAAAATCATCTCCTCAAAACTTCGGTTTACTTGCAGGCTTATTCTTGAAAGGCCGCGCTATGGTGATGTTATACGGGACGACTCTCAGCGACGATTTTTAGCGCAACACGGAGTTGCAATGCAGGAACAATGTTGTAATGATGTGTTGCGCTAATAATCATCATTTGAAGTCAGTTCTCCCGGGCTAGCATTCCCGGGACTCCTTAGTACGCTCACGCTTTCGCAATCGATTTAGCCGTCTCACTCTTTATATCGGCCCGCCGTCCCGGATAAAATAGAACACCGAAACGTTTTTTTATGGTAACGAACTTACATATTGACTACAGCATGGAAGACCAAATAGTTTGACCCTTCTTGAATCGTGTCAAAACTCTCTTCCAGATTAAAAAAATTCCAACATTTTCCTCTTCTTTAATTCTATCAACACGCGGGCACGCGGGTTGGAAATATGCTTTATATTCTACACAAATTAATGAGGAACAACACAGGATTCATTTGTTTCTTTTGAGCCAAGGATGGTTAGTGAAACACTTTGTGCCACATGTTTTACTGTAAAAGACAAAACTGACTGGGTAAAGGTCGTTAATTAAGGATGACTTTTCCCTGGCTCCAAATGTCCCTTGTCCGAATAATTAGTTAAAATAAAACGATAAATTAAACCGCACCTACGGTTTTTAAAGTCCCTTTGGAATTTTTCTTCTACAGGTTGTGCTTTGTTTTAGCAACTTTGCCGCTTATGATCAGTCCAAAAGGTAACATTAATCAAATCCAAAAGGCTCAAACCTCTAATACAAAGCTATATTGAGTTTTCGGCAAAACATCTGACAATTTTGCTCCAGTTGCGGAAGCTGTAACAACTTCTTGTTCATGTTTCTGTTCTGTACTGCCAGCTTCTGATGTAGTTTAAGGGCCGGGTCTTATTGGTTTACCTAGCAAAAAGTGATTTGTTGGCTATCATGTCGACAAAAAAGGAAGGAACAGAATCAACACTTAGTGCACAAGAAAGACCTCATCATCTTTCATTTTTACGGTTTAACTCGCTCCACTGTCTTTTCCCCTGGCTTGTTCCACTGCAGGTTACATGGTCTGTGGCAGCAACTAGCACAGTAACGGGTTGGGAAGTTTCAGTTTGCCATCCAAAATACAGTGCTATGGTTTGAAGTTTCTCAGCAATTTTGTAGTCAATCCTAATGCAAGGAGAAACTGTTTCGACGCCAGTACACTAGCCTTTCAGCGAAATATATCCGTCTGTCAACACACAGCCAGGCTGAACTGCCCGTCTGTCTTGCTGCATGAAGCTTATAACACTTGACGGTTATTAACTTTACGTTCAACTCTCTTTTTAGTTGCTGTTAGTTCACCTTGCACTCGCTGTTGGCGCTGGAGTTGTCATAGCCTGAGGGTAGGTCCAAAGATATGTCCTCTTCCTGACCAGAGTCATCTCTTGAACTCATAGCCTCATGTGATGTCGGCTCCTCACCACGGCCGCTATGAAGTGCCACATTTTCGACAAAGTGTTCTTTTCTAAACTTAAAAGGTACTCCAGTCTTGCACGAAACAGTTACTTTCCCCAAACCAATAACAACGATTGCTTGTTTCATCTCAACGGTCTTTTCCAATAGGTAATCCCCCTCTTTTAACAGAACAATTTGATTTAATTCCTCACGCTCTGTGATTTCTTGAAGAACAGTGCGCAATTCATCTGAGCTTTTAACAACGTGGATCTGTAGAACTCCATAACGTTGAATGACTGAAGAAATATCCCGACCAGAACTCAAATGATTAAAGACAGCAGCAGCGGCCAAGGCTTCGTGTTTCCTCCCTAACTCTGCTAAACTCGTTGCCTTGGTGTGGTATCCAAGAAACCAAGAAGGATCTGCTCTGATAGAAGACTCTGAATCTTTTAACGCAAGCTCCAATAAGGATTCCCGCTCATTCATGTTCCGGTTTTTCTCTGCTGATTTCAAGTAGGTTGACGCTCTAGCTGTAAGGAGCTGTGGGTCTTCTGAACATATGGCTAATGCCTTGCTGTAGTGAGATAAGGCCTCATCTAATTGGCCACGATTGAGGCTTTCCTTAGCTTTTTCTTTGAGCATTTTGATTGAATCAACCGAGGATGACAGTTCTATGTTCTCAGTGTAAACAGTTTCATCCAAGCGCAGTGGAACACCTTTAGTGCAGACAATTTGGACTTTTCCCACACCAACCACTACTGCGTTCGCTGGAACTTTCATTGACTTCGTCAACTCATATCTTCCTTCCTTGAGCAAAATCACAAGATTCCTTCCGGCCTCTCTCTTGACTAGTTCAAGGAGTTCATCAACTGTAGCAATCACGTTTATACTGTAATGTCCGAAGTGCTCCACGACGGCTGGTATTCCAGAGCATTGGGATGGGAAAAAGTGCTTGGCAACAGCAGCTGCAGCAAGACTTGGACCTCTCTGTCCAAGTTTAGAGAGACAAACAGCTTTCCAGTAGTAGCCTTTCACCCAAGAAGGATCTGTAGTTAACGCCACATTCGCGTCTTGACAGGCTAATTGAAGAAATTTCCGTTTTTCCTCTGTACCAAGGCCATGTTGCTCTGAAAGTTTCACATACGTAGCTGCTCTGTTAGTTAGCAGTTTAGCATCGTTGGGGCATTCAGTAAGTGCTTCGTTGTAAAGATTTAGAGCCCTAGAATAACAACCGGATTTGAAGCAATCATTAGCTTCGTTTTTTAAGTTTCTGACGGAAAGTACTGTATGGTCGCAGCGAGGTCTCGTGGGTCCTGAAACATGATGACTGGATGTTCGATTTGCAAAGAACTGCCAGAGTTGATCGCGAAGTTTGAAAGCCGTTTCCTGATTCCCAAGGAAACTGTGCACCATTTCCAGATAGAAGTTCGCTTCTGCTACATCCGGGTGCTTATCTTCATACGTTTTCTTCCGAAGTGATACTAACTTCTCTGCAACACTACGGTAAAAGTGTCCCTCTTCCTTGCTAAGTTTACTTCCTATCTTCAGATGGGCGCTGAAAGACATCATTAATTTAACTAGGACCATAGATGCATGTTCATAGCTACTGTCATCGACTTCATGTTTACTGTCACTTATAACTCCTGTGACAGCTCCACTTTGGATATCTTTGTACAAGTCAGGCCACCTTTCTATCAGAATATTACAGAGTACATCCTTAGCCCCGTAAGGATCAAAATATCTTGTCACGGTCAGAGCGCTCGTTATACCCCTGAGGTAATAATCTGACGCTGGGGGTTGTTTCTTTGCAATTTGCAGCATTTCTTCAGCATATATTCGAGCCTCTTGTAGCTTGTCGTCGTTATAGAAATGCATAGCTACAAATTGTAAGACACGAAGCAGATCATGGTGGTCAGAGGGATAGATCTTACGGGCAAGTTCAAGGGCCTTGAGATGACGTTTCAAAACGCATTCAAAGTTACCAGCAGATACGAAATTTTCTGCCCTTCCTATCAGGATCTGGAGATTTACAACTTTCTCGTCACTCAACGACAAGCCTTCGAGCTCTAACAAAGCTTTATAGTTTTCCTGCCATTTCCCTTCTGATGCGTAGTAGGATGCCATGTGCTCAAGGACACGATACTTGATATCGTCTTCAATCACAAAACCAGACTTTTCAAACTCAGCCATCTTCTGCACAGTTTCTTGAGCCAATCTTTTTGCTTCATCGTAGTTCTCACGCCCGGGAACATTCCTTTTACTAATAGCTGCGGAAGTCCTCATGGTAAGAAGTAGATTTGGATCCGAGGAATCTCTTACTTTGTGAACTTTCAAAATAACATCCCATAATTCCTTTCGTAGGGTAAAGAAGAATACATCATTTTCAATTAAAATGCCAACAAACGTGAACAAATTGATGATACTATTATCTTTGCAAAGAAAAGGAGCAAATTCCTTTTCGTGTGAATCAATTTCATCTTGAATATGATTCTTAAGTTTGCGAACGTTTATAAGAAGGGCATTTGCAATTCTTCTCTCTTCATCTCTCAGTTCTGATAGATAACCTGCGCCGGATCCAGATTTGGAAGCTTCAGAACAATGACATAGCGCAAAATTAAGAAGTCGGGAGGCCGCCACTAATGCCCTTATCTTCTGCTCTACAGTAAGACTCTCTTTGACCACTTCCTGGATAAGTTTATGGACATGAAATACTTTGTTTTGGCTGCTGACTGAGAAGAGGGAGTAACTTGACAGTACCCTCAGGAGCATTGCAATTTCAATATTGCAAGAAGCTTTTTCTTTCAATTCGTCCTGATCTAACTCAGGCAAACCTGGATTGATGACCGCAAAAGGAACATTCTCTGAATCCAGGAAGGCTGCAATGCGCATCATGCTGGCAGCAGCTGGTGATTGTTCTCTGACATATGCAAAGTTCATCTCCCAAGTAGTATGAACTGATAACCGATGCTGAGCCTCCATACTGAGCGCTATAGCAGGCTGTTGCTTCAACAGACGCAACTTGACCTCTCGGTACTTTTTTAAGTAATCTGCAAAACTCAACGGAATAGGACTGGCAGTTATGTATGCTGCCGCCTGCTCGAGCGCTAGTGGTAATGCTCCAAGCTCTTTCGTCAGGGCAACCGCGTCTGGTTCAAGAGATTTTCCTTCAAGACCTTTTCTTTTCGTTAGAAACAATACGCCTTCCTCCTCACTGAAACATTGCAGTTCTAAATAATCTTCACACGAGTTCTTCAAGAAAGCTTTTGCATCTCTGGCATTTTGTCTGGTTGTGAGTAGTATGTGGCCTCGCTTAGGTGATTGACTATTTCTTTGCCAAGGTCCTTTGCATATCTTTTTAACACCTGTTGGGCACGTTGGGTCTTGTAATTCGTCTACATTGTCCACCACAAGAAGCCACGGGAGCTCCTTATTCGACAACCACGTAAGGAAGCGGGTCAGTGTTTCATCGATACTGGCGCCCTTTGGAGTGAAAATATTCTTAAGAGCAAGAACCTCAGCAACTGATTTATTTATATTTTCATCGCTTTCACCGTTGATCCAGAAAACGCCCCCTGGGAATCGACTTTTGTTAATCCACGCGAATTCTACGGCCAGTGATGTCTTGCCACAGCCGCCAAGCCCGCATATCGTTTTTGTACAACAGGAAGTTTTTGCACCACTTTGAACACCACTCTCCAGGACAAGATTCTTTTCAAGCCAACTCAGAGCTGTTGTACGCCCAGTAAATGAAGGTAACCTACTTGGTGCGGTGCAAAATATGTCCTCATCACTGCCCGTCTCTGCTTGAAAAACATTTTCTTTCAAGCTATCCACCACTTCCTTTACATCCATGAAATCCTCCTGTAAGCCAGAAATCTTGGTTTCGGTTGTATTCATCTTGATGGTTACCTTTTGCACTGCACTTTTTAAACTTGCGAGGTTAGTTTCAAAGTTTAACACTTTCGATTGTATCATATTTAGGTTACAAACAACGTTGGCCATTCTATTTCTTACTACTTCCACGTCATCATGGAGAACAATTAGGTCTTCTTGAAGGTCGTCTCTTTGATTCAGTACAGTGTTGAAATCATCAACACTGCGGAGTACTGTGGATATCTCAGTGGAGAGGTAGGCTTCTGCATCTCTCAACTGAGTTTTCAGCTCCTCCCGTAACTTGCTTAAGTCCTCATTGTTCAGGTCACCTTGTTCTTTCACTTCAGATAAGTCGCTCTGAATATCGACTTTAAGTTTCACCACTTGTGCCTTTAACGTACCAATGTCCTCTTTGTTCACACCCGCTATTTCCTCTACGTCAGACAAATCTTTCTGGGCTGCCATGTACAATTTCTTAGTCTCAGCATCTACTTGAGCAACTTTCGTCTGAACATCAGTTAAATCATCTTGGCATTTTGTCAGATCTGATGCAAGTGACTGACGTAACAAATGAAGAGCCTCCATTTCAGAATTCCTTACATTGACCAGACCTTGATGGAATAAGTCTTGCAAGTGTTGCGAAGCCTTTTGGGCCTCTTTATCAGCATTAAACACTGGGTCACTCAACAAATTATTCAGATGCGAAAATATGGTTGGCACATCGACATCTTGAATCTCTTGCTTTGGAGAATGCGCCCAATGATTCCTACACTCATCTCTCGCTGCACATAGAACTGTTTTATTTACTGGGGGAGTGAGAAAAGGACACCATTCCATTAAGTTTAGGAGACCACCAATGTCCGTTGTTTCAGCGTCGACAACATCCATTTTCCTGATTCCAAGAGTTGGCATGAAGAGTTTAGCTATTTCCCACGCCCCAGCCGGAGATCCCCATTGATTTTTGTCACTGTTGTTCCAGCATATCTTCGGTCGTGGTGCCATGTGATGACGTGACAATTCCGCCCTCCATGTAGTACAAAAAGTACATTTGGCAGCAGATGGACAAGTGCATGGTGAAAGTGATTGGAGCGGAGGGCTTGAAATGAGGTTTCGGTACCAGGCTTCCATTTCTTTTTGGATTTTTGGTGAAATTCCACTTTTGGCAATGTTCAGAGCACATCCAATCAAAACCCAGTTTTTGTGTTCTTTCTTGTCGAGATCTGCCACCCAGCCTCCGGTCGCCATTATCTTGTCTTCTAACCAAGGCTGAAAATCTAAGAAGGGCAGTTAACATGTAGAGTTCAGTTGAATCTGAAACTTCTCTCTTTCTGCACTATAAATACACATTTTACGTCTTGCATATAACCAATCTTTAGAAATTCGTGTCCAAATATAAATTTCACACAGTTTCTTCATGTAAAAAATTCAAACAATCCCTCTTAGCATGTACGCTCTTTGTAACTTTGACTACAAAGCTAAGCAGCAGAAGAAAAAGTTCCAGTTTTTTTACAAATTCTCTAAACTGATCTCTATACGATTCCAAAAAGAATAAGTTGAGAGAATTTGATAAAAGATCAAAGCATTTTCCCTTAGGTGATTATTTCAAAAATTCTCACAACCTCTTCTCTTGATTGTGTATTGATAATGTAAGGACAAAATTGATGTTTGTCATTTCGAGTCATTTATGGGACTTAAATATTCAACATTTGTAAACTTCTGTAATATTGATTGTTATTTTGATTTTCCACCTGATAATATTTTGTATCCGTCGCCGTAATTTTTATGCCACCTTCGAAAAATTGTAATTGAGGAGGCCTAATTAACATAAGCTTTATAGTTTGCTTTAGGCCTCCTCGGTATTTCTTCCTACATTTTTTGGGCATCTTTTTGTGATTGTAATCGTATGGCAAATAAATATTTAATACAAATACCAGGATAAATAGACATTTCTGCAAATAATTTAGTATTTAAACTCAACTTTAAAACTCAATGTTGTACTAGTTAACCAGTATTGAGATTAAATCCAGGTTTATCCTTGGTTAAAACAAAGAAAATAACCTTGGGAAAAGAACAGAGGAAATTTACTAGTTCTCACCCTAAGGTATCAAAATATGCTAAACTCTTGAAAACTCTGAGTAATTTGGTGATTATTAAGCGTGACTCTCTCTAAAGAATTTTGCTTCCAGAGCGTAGTTATTACACCGGATCATGAACAGCACTGTGTGTGCGACATACTTCATAAAGTATGGCCAAAACAGAAAAATGAAATTCTTGATAACACAACAGCTGTTTTCCGAGACCGGAGAAAAGTGAAATCTTAATCGATTAACAAATGCAAATTTCATATTTCAACTTTGCCTTCCATTTCCTATCGAATGTTAAATTTTTTTGGTTTTGAGGGTAAAACTCTTAGAAATTGTAGTAAACCTTAAAATCACTGTTTACTAAATGATTCTGTTTTTTTTTTCTTCACAAAAATCGACGAATTCAGATGAAAAACATTCATTCGTCTGTGCTATGTCACAGTGCGCCCTGGCTCCAAAGAATAAATCAAACGTTTCCGCGAAGCAGTAACGCGGCTGCTTTAACTGCTCAGACGGACACACTACCTATTTCGCGACATTTCGATATGTAGTTTAAAGTAGGATTTCTTATCTTTAAATCTTACCTTACTTGATCATAGACTTGTTGCACTTGGTGGAGATAATTCAGACTGAAATAATGGCTTCCCTTGCAGCAAATCTATAACTTTATCGAAATCGAAAGCGGAAATGATAAAGCTGATTTAAGGTACACGCGTTGTTGACCAAGCGTGAGGCCGATATAGATAGCTACTGGCCAAGTTTTATTTGCGTTTTGTTATTGAAATGCAGACGGTACAGAGCGAGCAATACCGAGAGGGAAGATGCAGTCAAAACTCTCTACATAACAACATTGCGTTTCAAAAATCATCTTTCCATAAACAGCAATTAGAGACGAACGATGGACAAACAATGTAATCCCTGTATGTTGCACAGACTACAAGCTTTGTTTTGTAAAACTGTTCAGTATATGCGAACTTTGGGTTTCTGTTTTTCTGATATACTGTATTTACTCGATTCAGTGTCAAGTTAACGCCATAGGTAAACACCATAGGTGGAGGCAAAAATAACGCAACCCGGCCTAGATTGAACTCCGCACCCAAACAGAAGAATGCAGCGTTGAAATTTTAAGATTTTGGAAAGGTGGATGATGGTAAGAGGTAGTAGCACATGGAGGAAGTTTGATATAATTAATGCAGGGGTCAGCTAGTCTTCAAGGGGAAGTCGGCCTTAGTGATTTCAATTTCCGGGCAACAACTTTAGCATGAACAACATTCTTCCATAGAGGAGTTGCATATCTGCAGTCAAATGTCAGGGTAAAAATCTGTCACAGTACAGGAAGGTTTTTGGCGCTTTTTTCTCTTTTCGCAGCTATTTTCTTTGAAAGGAACCTACCCTACGCCTGCTACAAGTTCAAAAGATAACATTCATCAAAATACAAAAACTCAAAAGCCTTTAATGTAGCGCTGTACAGTTTTCGGGAAAAAACGACATAGTTCACGGCTAGCTAGGGCCTCCTTGTTCTAGCCAATAATGTTCCTTGTTTTCTGTGACGTAAATGTAAATAATATCTACACATTTCTGAACTACTTATTCTATTATGAAGGCTCTTCAGTGAGAATCACTTTTATGTTAGCAATGGTCCTTATTATAAGGCATTGCCGCGAGAAACAGGGAAAACGTTTGCGGTGACCTCAACTGGAAAGTTTTCCCAGCCAAATCCTTCTACGTACAAGAGGAAACGTTGCTGCCTCCGATTGTTTGGAAACGATTTTGGAAACCTCGACAACTTTTACCTCCAATTGTCTGGAAACGATTTTGAATCATAACCTCCTGTTAAAATATCTTCAGTGAAATGAGCCACACGTTTCGACTGTCTTTTTTTCCCTCCCCGTTACATCACAGGTCATGTGGTCGGAGGCAACGACTACGTAAGCAGCTTTGATGGAGGTAGGCGATGGGGGAGTTTCAGTTTGTCAAGAAAATTTGCCTCCGATTACAAGGGGAATTATACGTTTCTCTAAGTAATTACATTAGCTAGTTAGCCGAAATACATCTGTGTGGCATTACGTTGACGTACTAAGCACCCCGTTTTTGGCTGTTTACATAGCTAAATTGTTTTTACGACAGGTGACTGTTTTGTGTTCAATTCTCTGTTTTAGTTCAGGAGGTTAGTTCACCTTGCACTCGCTGTCGACTTTGGAGGCGTCATACCCTGAGGGCAAGGCCAAAGATATATCTTCTTCCTGACCAAAAGGACTTGTCGAACTCGCAGTCTCTAGTGATTCTGGCTCATCACCACAGTCTCCCTGAAGTTCAACATTCTCGACAAAATGTTCCTTTCTAAAGTGAAAAGGTGCGCCAGTCTTGCACGAAACAATTACTTTCCCTAGACCAACAACAACGATTGCTGGATTGATCTCCACGCTCTTTTCAAATAGGTACTCTCCTTCTTTCATTAAAACAATTTGGTTTACTCCTTCATCAAGAAAATTGTGCAATTCATCTGACCTTTCAACAACATGGATCTGCAACGCTCCATAACGTTGAATGACTGATGAAATATCCCGACCAGAGCTCAAGTGGTTAAACACAGCAGCAGAGGCCAAGGCTTCGTGTTTCCTTCCCAACTCTGTCATAATCGTAGCTCTGGTGTAGTAGCCAAGTAACCAAGAAGGGTCAGCTCTGATGGTGGCTTTGGTGTCTTCCACACCAAGCTCTAGCAACGATTCCCGCTCAGACGTGTTGCTCTTTTCTTTCGCTGCTTTCAAGTAAGTCGAAGCCCTAGCTGTTAGAAGCTGTGTGTTTTCTGGACACGTGGCCAATACCTTGCTATACAGAGACAAGGCCCGGTCGAACTGTCCAAGATCGAGGCACTTGTTAGCTTTCTCTTTGTTAACTGTGATGAACTCCACGGAGGGTGTTAGTTCAATTTTGTCGATGTAAACAGTTTTATCCAGGAACAGTGGAACGCCTTTGGCGCAGGTGATATCGACTTTACCAAGGCCAACTATCACTGCATTTGATGGAACCTTCAAAGGCTGTGTTAGCACATATTTCCCACTGCGAACGACAATTACGAGACTGTTTTCACATATCTCTACGGCGCGTCCAAGGTCTTCAGAAGTAGCTACTTCTTTTACAATGTAGCATCCGAAATGCTCGACAACAGCAGGTATTTGGGTCCACTGTAGTGGAAACAGGCTTCCAGCTACTGCAGCTGCAGCTAGCGATGGACCTCTTTGCCCAAGTTCAGCAAGGCAAACAGCCTTCCAGTAGTATCCCTTCTTCCAAGAAGGATCTGCAGATATCGCGCTAATAGAGTCTTCGAGAGCACGTTGAAGAATGTTCTGTCACTCTTTTAAAGGTTGACTCTGTGATTTCCGCTTAGAAAGCTTGACTTGCGCACAAGCTTTGTTAGTTAATAACTTGGCATTGTTTGGAGTCAAGTTTAAAGCCTTCTTATAGAACTCGAGTGACCTCAAATAGTCGCCTAAACTGAAAAACGCGTTACCTGCATCTTTGTAATGCTTTGAGCGGTCGCCAATCGAATCCGCGCAAGGTCTGCTTTGACACTGTTCAGTCAATCCCTTGCAGCTTACAAATACTGGTAGCTGGCGACTACTAAGCACATCCTCGTCATCGGTTCCAGAGAGGGTATTTACTGTCATTAAAAAGCAATATGCCTCTTCCATATCTGGGAAGATGGAACCATAATGCTTCATTCGCAGGGAAACAAATATTTCCCCAATTCGTCGGTAAATGGCCAAAGTCTCCGTGGAAACTTTCGCATTATTATTCTCTTTAAGAGCGACAAAAACGCATTTCATCAAACATTGTAACTGTACATCAATGAAATCTTCGAATCCGTCTTCAAGATAAGGAATACAGTTATTCACATAGCCATCTAATATACAACTGTATATATGGGGACATCTGTACTCTAAAGCCTCTAGCAATGTGTCTTTCATGACTTCGTGGTTTAATTCACATAAATATGACAGAGAGGCGTGCATCCCATATCCCATATCATCTGACCAAGGAGGAAGCGTTGTACAAATGTCTCGCATTTCTTTGGCGTATATTTTACTTTCCTTTACATTGCCGCTGTCGTAAAGTATCATACCGGCATACTGAAGCATCCGCAGCAACTTCGGGTCATCCGAAGAATAAATTTTCTTTGCTAAATCTACGGCTTTCATGGCACGATGACTGGTGTTTCTTTTCATCCCCTTACTTCCTATAACCGCTATGCGCATTTGTAGCTCTGCAGTATTAGCAGCGCTTATTGGTAAGTTTAAACTCTCAAGCTCTAACAAAGCGTTGTAGCATTTTTCTACCTCTCCTTCAACAAAGAAATAATTAGCCTTACGATAGAGAATTTGAAATTTGACATCGGCTTCTATAACAACACCAGATTTCTCAAACTCAAACAACTTTTGCATAACATTATCCATCAATTTCTTTCCTTCGTTTGCTCCTTTAGTGTTGCATTTCATGATACTTACGTTGGTCATCTCAAAGAGGAGCTCGCTCGGATCACTGTCACCGAAAACCACTCTAAAGAGTTGCAAGAAGAAGTCCGAGAGTTCTGCATTAAACCAATAAAGAGACCCCCATTTCCTAGTTAGATCATGTACAAGTTTGCATAACTCATAGGTGTCGACGTTAAAAAGATCACCGGTGTCATCCTCCTTTGTCTCGTTCATTTCCTCTTTCATATAACTTGTCAACTTGAGAAAGTGAAGCAAAAGAGAGAAAACAATAAGCTGGTCCTCTAAGTCCATTTCGTAGAGGTTGCCTGGCCTTAAATTCTCGAATACAGGAAACTGTAAAAACGCAAAGCGAAGAACGCGAACGCATTCCACCAATGTCTTTACCCTTTCTGATTTCGTAAGGCTGTCTCTAACAACTTCTTGAACAAGCTTGTGGACACGGAACAGTTTACATTGGTGGTTTACCGAGAAAAGAGAGTAGCTTGATAGTATCTTCAGGATGTCACCAATATCTGTATAAGAGAATGAACATCCTCTCAGTTCCTCCTGATTACATTCAGGAGATCCAGGATTGATGACATTGAAAGGAATAAATTCAGATTCAAAAAAAGCAGAAATGCGCATAATCTTTGCAGCGGCAGGTGACCTTTCTTTAACATATTCGAAGTTCATCACCCAGGTTGTGTGAGTTGACAACCTATGTTGTGCTTCCAGACTTAGAGCAGTGGCATGTTGCTGTTTTAAAAGACGAAGCTTAACTTCTTCATATGTCTTCAGGTAATCTTTAAAATCAAGTGGAAGAGGGCTGGAAGATATGTACGCTGCGGCTTGTTCGAGGGCTAGTGGCAGAGATCCCAGTTCTTTCGCTAAACAAATAGCATCTGGGTCAAGATCGTTCCCTCCTAGACCTGTCCGTTGCATTAGAAATAATGCACCTTCTTCTTCACTGAAGCACTGTAACTTCAAACAATCATCATTTGAAATCTTCAAAAACGTTTTACTCTCTGTTGCATTTGCCCTGGTTGTAACAAGTATGTGACCATGCCTTCTTGGGAGATGCGTTCTTTGCAATATCCCTTTGCATATCTTCTTAACGCCTGCTGGACAGGTTGGATCATTTAAATCATCGGCATTGTCTATCACAAGAAGCCATGGACGTTTCATTTTGGACAACCATGACAGGAATTTGTTCAAGATGTCCTCTATGTTGTCGGTTACTGAGGCGCTGATATTGACAAACGTGAGTATTTCGACCACGGATTTCCGTAGATTTTCATCACTTTCACCGTTGACCCAAAACACACCCCCTGGGAAGCGATGCTTGTAACGCCAAGCAAATTCTATAGCCAGCGAAGTTTTTCCACATCCTCCAAGGCCGCATATCGTTTTAATACAAGTTGAGGTTCCGGGTTTCTTCTCAGGGTTCAGCAAAACAAGATTTCTTTCAAGCCATTCTAGTTCTGATTTGCGGCCGGTAAACTCTGTTAACCCAATCGGTGCCGTGCAAAGAATGTCATCGTCGTCATCGTCGTTGTCTCCCTTGTGTGGACCAACCTGAACTTTGTGTTTCAATGTTTCTATTTCTTCTTTAACCTCCATGACATCTTCTTGTAATCTTGAGATCGAGCTTTTGTTTGTAGAGACATTCTTGGCTACTTTCTGTACTTCACAATACAAGTTTTTGAGGTTGCTTTCTAACTGGGGCAAGATCAGTCCAACTTCGTTTAGTTCCAGAACAACCTTCTGTATACCATTCGACAATTCATCTAAGTCATCACAAATAACCTCAATTGTGTTTCTAAGATCATCTCTTTGGTCTAGGAACTTGTTGAAGGCAGCAACTTCAATCAATAGCGTGGATACATTATCAGACAATTTTTTTGACTCTTCTGCCATTTGCTGCTTTAGTGTAGTGATCTCAGATTTGTTCGCATTACTTTGTTCTTGGAACTGAGATAAATGTCGAAGTGTATATGCCAAGTCTTCTTGGTACTTTCTCAGACCGGCCTCCAGACATTGCCGCAACAAGTAAAGAGCTTCAACCTCAGACTCTCTGACGTTAATCAGACCTTGACGGGACAAATCTTGCAAATCATTGGACGCTTTTTGGGCTGATAGTTCAGAGTTAAACACTGGGTCACTAAGCAGATTATTGAGATGACTAAATATAGTTGGAACATCGCCATCACAAATTTCTTGTTTAGCAGCATGCGCCCAACGATTTCTGCATTCATCTCTTGCTGAATTCAAAAGAGTTCGACTCACAGGGGGATTGATAAAAGGACACCATTCTAACAAATTCAAAAGACCACCAATGTCGGTTCCATCTGCGTCGATAACATCCTTTGCTCGGCTTCCAAGGGCTGGCATATAAACTTTAGCTATCTCCCATGCCCCTGTCGGAGATCCCCACTGTGTTCGGTCACTGTTGTCCCAGCAAATCTTTGGTCTCCAGGACTTGTGGTGACGTTTCAGTTCCTTTTCCCAGGTGACGCAAGTGGCGCACTTTGGTGCTGAAGGTGCGCATGCGCAAGAGGGAAGTGATTGAAGCGGTGGACTGGAAATAAGGGACTGGTACCAAGTTTCCATCTTGTTTTGAATTGTTGGTACTATTCCTTTTTTGGCAATGTTAAGAGCACAACCAACCATCACCCAGTTTTTGTGTTCTTTCTTATCAAGCTCTGCTACCCAACCGCCAGATGCCATTATGATGCGGATTTCAAGGTAAACTGAGAAACAGTACGTCTTAGAATTAAATGAAAAAGCCGGCGCTACAGTTGAGGCTTTGTGCCTAGTTCTTTGTACCTTGCTAATTACAGATATTCCCCTTTCCAGGCCCCTTGAGGCATTTACTAACCAAGGATCTGCAACGAAAAGACCAAAAAATCTTAACACATGAATAGTTACCTTAAATGCTATAAGATTCCTTAGAATGACCTAGACTAGAACCAATGAGAATTTTGTTTAAACGTAAAAATAAGAATTTGCCACTTAAGGGGCAACCGAACGTGACAAGACTATGTTAAGGAAGACACTGTTAAAGATAGAGTGAATAAAAGACTAGCAATTAAAGCGATTTACGGAAGGTGGGGGCACACCGTTTACCAGGTTTGAATTCTTGTACAGTGAAAACCCGCGTATAAGAACCTAGTGGATTAGAAACCTCCGGGCAAACTTTGTCACTGTAATACTAAAAAATACATAGCCAAGCAAGATCAAGCAGGTTCTTAGATGTGGGTTACAGTTAAATTATGAAAAACAATTTAGCCAACTCCAAGGAGATTAACCTTGAGATTGTAAATTTAAGTATAATTACAAGAACATACTATACCAAACTGCTTTTACAAATATGCGCACTAATCCCTACAACAATACCAAGTTTATATAAATTACAGACTGTAATTATTGTCTTAATGGACCTTGGAAAACAAGGCTTGCAAAGTACTGTAGGTACTCTTGCAGTTTAACAGTCTAAAACGTTTGCTGATACTGTACATTTAAGGACCAAACCCAATTTTATTTATTTTTCTGGTAATCAACAATTATCGCCTTTATAGGAATTAAGAACATACTTTGCCTAAATTGCCAATAAGTACCCCAAAATACAAGAACCTATTTTGCGAGACTTCTAAAACAAGTACGTCCTAGGATAAGGAAACCTGGGTCTGTCTTCTTCAGCTCCTGGGTGGGGTAATGATGGACCATGAGTATGAGGCTGTATTTAGGATAGGCAGACTGAGGTCTCTTCTTTTCACCTCTGGGGTGAAGTGATAAATGACTCTAAGAATGGGGCTGGATTTTGGATAGAGGAGTGCAAGATTTCTCTTCCTCACCTCTAGGGTAGGGTAATAATGGTCCATGAGTATGAGGCTGTATTTAGGATAGGTAGACTAGGGTCGTTCATTTTCTCCTCTGGTAGGGGGGGGGGGGGCATGAATGACTCTAAAAATGAGGCTGGACTAAGGATAGTGGGTGTCCAGGGTCTCTCCTCCTCACCTCTGGGGTGGGGTAATAAAAGGCCCAGATAATCAGGCTGCATTTAGGATAGGGAGTCTGTGGTCTCTCCCCTTTCGCTATGGGGTGGGGTAATGAAAGACCCTGAGAATGAGGCTGTATGAAGAATAGGGAGTCTGTGGTCTCTCCCCTTTCCCTCTGCGGTGGGGTAATTAAAGACCCTGAGAATGAGGCTGTATCAAGAATAGAGAGTCTGGGGTCTCTCCTTTTCCCCTCTGGGGCGGGGTAATGAAAGACCCTGAGAATGAGGCTGTATATAGGATAGAGAGTCTGGGGTCTCTCCCCTTCCCCTCTGCGGTGGGGTAATGAAAGACCCTGAGAATGAGGCTGTATCAAGAATAGAGAGTCTGGGGCCTCTCCTTTTCCCCTCTGGGGTGGGGTAATGAAAGACCCTAAAAATGAGGCTGTATGAAGAATAGAGAGTCTGGGATCTCTCCGCTTCCGCTATGGGGTGGGATAATGAAAGACCCTGAGAATGAGGCTGTATTTAGGATAGTGATTGTGGGATCTGTCTCCTTCAAATCTGGGATGGAGTACTATAACACCATGACACTGCATTTAGGATAAGGATTCCTGGGTCTGCCTTCTTCCCCTATGGGGAAGGGCTATGGTAGACTCTAAGAACGAGGCCAGGTTTAGGATAGCCAGTATCCAGTGTCTCTCTTCTTCCCCTCTGGGGTGGGGTAATGAAGGACTCTGACTATCAGGCTGCATTTAGGAGGATAGAGAGTCCTGGGCCTCTCTAATCTTCCCCTGTAAGGTGGGAATGAAAGATTCTGGGAATGAGGCTGAGAAAGGATACCCCTTTTTTAACCCTTTAAGTCCCAATAGTGACCAACAGCAATTTTCTCCTAACAATGTCCATACATTGTCAAGAGAAGGTTGTGAGAATATAAAAAATGATCACGAAAGAGAAAATGACTTGATGTTTTATTAAATTCTCTCAACTAATTCTTAAAGGAAAAGTATGGAGATCAGTTTGGAGAATTTGTATGTGGATACTGGGGCTTAAAGGGTTAACGGGCCAGTGTTTTATGCCGAAACTTAAATTTTTAATAAATTATAACAAGCAATAAAAGTTGTCAATCAAAGGGATCAGACAGACAGATTAACATAAACAGATAGATTAAGTTCACACATTCCCAATCAGGGAGCAAAGAAAATCATTTTTACAGCTTGCCGTTCGGGCAAGCTGAAGCTAGCATTTACTAGCCCAGACGTCATTTCAACTAGCCCCAAAAGCTCTTCGTCAAGCTGAATTGATTTCACACTTCTTCTGTTATTCGAATTCCTCAAAGAACATCATTTGCCCGTCAGGCAAGTTAAAAACAGATTTCACTAGCCCGATAGCAAAATCCACTAGCCCCGGGCTGTCAGACACTACTTTCTTTGCACGCTGTCAATGTAAATGAAATGAGCCCATTAACATAGTCAACTTGATCCACAATGCTTATTATATACTCAAGCTTTAGGGGAGAACATTAGCCACCCCTACTTGACATACTTCACAGTATAAAGAATCAAGGGAAAAGCAGTGTACTATAATTTTTTTCTAGCATGTGATTATTCAAATCACAGGAGAAAACAGCATTACCTAAAAATTATCATAATTAATGCAAGGGGCAAACAACTGCAGATTAGGAAAGACCTCCTTTCCGCCTGCCCTTGCCTGCTCTTATAATGCAGTGGTTTAAACAAAATTATTAATATTGATGGGAACTGGATGCATGGATGCTGACTGGTCAGGTTTTCATTATCTGATGGAAAGGTATTTGACACTTCTTTCTTTCCTGGCCTCATTGCTCTTTTTCTGTATTTGAGCATAAAATTTGATCTGATAGATAATAAAAAAAGTTCATGTTAACCCATTCGCTCCTGGAAACTCGTTTTGAAGGTACTCGAGTGGTTTACTGGCCACTGTCCTGCTATAAAGAGCTAAAACTTACCACAAACCAGTTTACAGGTTGTACACTTCACGGCCTTCTGATCCAGATGCAAAATATTAGCTTGTGAAGTTCGGGCATGCGCAGAAAGCAAAATTTCGAGTTTTTGGGTTTAAAAGTGACACAGCAGTCTTAACTTTTACTTTTTGCTTTCTCTCCTCCCCTCTTTTTTTGCTTTTCTTGCCTCATTTTTTTTCTCTTGCTGGGAATTTAGTAGGCTTTATTTTGGTGGGAATAGTTTTCAGGAAAGCTTTTAGGATCTTAGGATTAGGCGAAAGGAAAGGTAGGTGAGCAATGGAACAAGATTTTCATGGAGATTTTCAGGTCAATGTTACATGGTTTTTTGCCTCTTTCTCTGGTGTCCTTGACTGAATTGTGCTCATTCTGGTATGGTTTGAAAGATCTCTTCACTCTGCACAAGTTAGCAGACAAAGTTGTCCTTGACCGTTAAAACTGATCACTTCACAAAGGGTAGAAAGGACGTGGATCCGCACGGGCAGTTACGGGCGGTTCAGGGGTGAATGGGTTAAGGTGAGCAAAGCCATGTTTAATTTATGTGGTGCCTGCACTTTTACAGAATTATCTTTATCATGTCAATAACAACTTCATTGCTTATATATTGACTACCTGGATGTAAGACTTTATCATTTTAAGTGAATATTGAGGTAACCCAACTATAATTACTGTCAGGCATATTTCACCACAATCTATGTACAGCCTGCATCACAGACTGTCTCAATCCCTACAATAATTATATAGACAGTCCGTGTGATGACTCCAAAAAGCTTTTTCTGATATCCCATAAGTTTCCAGGAATTATTGCATCCATTTTTGATTGCATGGCTAGATTTCTTCTAGGCTTAATTCATGTCATCAGAGCTTAGGACCACACAACACCCCACAAATCAGTTTGAAGTCTTTTTGAGAAATGTTTACCCTGCATGGATGGTAATACAAAGACAATTTGCTTTTTATTTCATAAGGACATAGAAGCATATTTGCAATCCATCCATCATTGTGCCTTGGCCTTTGTGTTATAGCCCAGCTGTAGTGGCTCACGTGCATGTGCGGAGCCCCATAGCTAAGAAAATTTGGTAAACTACTGTGTGACACAAAACTTTGGCAGTTTTTAATGTTTGCGATTTTGGTTTTTTTTTTTTTTCAGCAATCCACAAAAATAAGTTCCCACAAATAAAAAGTACTGTCAAAATTTTTCCCCAAAAATGTACTCCAGAGTAAATATTCACCACACAAAAATACAGTACTGAGAAATCATGTCTGTTCCAATTTATTAAAAGTTATCTCTTTCATTCAGAAAAAAAGCAGTATACAAGAAATACTGATACACACGGCAGTATTGTGTATACTTCCAGAAAATAATGTAATGTTTGGTGAAATCCACACCATTTCAGC